AAAAAAAAAAAAAGCGTACTGTTTCGATGCTTAGTCAGCAACAGCAACAATATACGTCAATCAAAACACTTTTTTTTTGCTGAATGAAACTGCAGATGCTAAAATGCAGTGGCGTAATAACGAAGTTTAATGCGGCAAACGTTCAAAGAAAACATTGGTGTGCGTCATCGAACTGAATGAAGTACCCGCCCAAATGGTAGCCGTAACTGTGTTCTGCCAAAAATGCACTGACACTGTCTGGTGCCAAAAATTTCAGCTATTATTCGTCGTCAGTTCATCCCTTAAGCAGTCGGTTGACACGGCTTTGTTTTTTTTGCTGTCAATGGTTACCAGTGCAAAAAATCGGAAGGGCGACCGCGACGATGACGAATAATCTGATTGTTTTAACGTTGTTGAACCGTAGAAAAGTAGGAAACTTTTTTTTTTTAAATCTTTTAAACCGTTGTTGTTTTTGCTGCTACTGATGATGGAGATGATGTTGGAAATTGGTCTGCGTTGTAATGGCTGATAAAATAGGCAGTCACAGTGAACTGCATTTTGCTGCAGAGGAGTATTTTTAGACTCTAACAGTTCTATTGCTTTTATTTATTTATTTACTTATTTTGCATTATGAAAGTGCAAATTGTAAAATAACCACTGTGACAAAAAATCAATTATGAAACAATGATAACAATCGCAATAAAATATTGTATCTGCATTTTAAAAGCCTTTTTTTCTTGTCTCTGTTAATGGTCCTTGAAAAATTTTGAATTGCAGCTTCATTGTACTTTTTTATACGGGTTTTGCTATGGATTTTTTTTTTTTTGCATTTTAGCAAGTTTTTTTAGCTTTGTGATATTTCGTCTTTATCTTGTCCTATCTTTTTCATATACTACTAGCCCGCTATCAAGTGAAAAAAAAAAAAATTGATGGTTCTTCGAAAATATCCAACTTTTAGTGATCATTGCTCTAAGGCTTTTCTTTATTTTTTCAGTTGTCAGCGCGATGTCGTTAAGAACACTGACTCCAGTGTTCAGAAATCTTGCTGTAGCAAGTACCTCAGTAGCCAGTGTTCAACCGTTTCAATGCCTGTGCAATCAAATGCGGAATTTTACCTTTTCTGCCAAGTTGTTAAAAAGTCTTGCGGAAGAACATCCAGGTTAATATGTCATTTGTCGTTATCTGCCGTGTTCCAAAGTTGCACATTTTTTTTTTCTAATGATTTAGCAGATAAGCTTTTTATCAGTTGTGAATTACAGAGAGGTACCTGTTATTGACTGCTTTTTACCAACAGTTGAAAATGCATTATTGAACTTGTTTCTTTTGACTAAAGACTAAGTAAGAATCATATGCTTACCAATGCAAAAATTTTTACAAACGTTATTGTTTTTCTGTCTGTAATAGTCAAGATTGTTCAGGAGTCAGACTTTTCTCTGTTTCTTGCATGCTTTGTTTTTTATAACCACTCTTTTAGCTCCAAAAATCTCTGAAGCTCAGAAATTTTTACAAGAAGGAACTGTTGGGGCGGAACATTGGCTTTCTGTCAACCAGTCTAGATTTGAAGAAAGCTTTCCAACCCCTGAAACGCTACACCAAAGTTTTGATGGAATTCCGTTTAAAGAGTTGCCGATAGTACATATCAAGGCAACCAAAAATAATACGCTTATCAACGCTGTTACATTTGAGGTAAGCAACTGTCGGTATGGTGACAAGCTCTTGCCTTCTACTCGGCTATTGAGAGTTTTAACCAGCCCAGTTATTATGCAGCAAGTTTTTCGTAAATACTAATTTTCATTAACGAAATCAGTCATCGGAAGCCTTTTTAAACCGTGTAATGCTGCACAGAAAGGAAAATTTATGTTTTAGTGGAGTCTTGGTTCAGTATAATGTTAGCCTGCTGCAGAATTAGCCGAGAAACAGTTCCTTCGAGATTATTTTTTTTTGTCACAGTGTGATTTGGATTTAGTGTGTTTTAGAATCAACCGATTATATACACTTCTTGTCGATTAGAAGGCTTCAAAAATGCTAAGAAAAAAACGCAGATCGCAGGTCATGCAACGGGGGTCGCGGCTGGGCAGAAATTGCTGCGGCGGGGCGTTAAGGCCGTTAGGATTAAGGTAAAAGATTGTTTGATTTTTTAATTTGTTTTGCGTAACTTATGTTTTGTACTCTTTTTATTGGGTCTTCTTGAAAGTGGGATTTTTAGGAAATATTTTAAGCAAAAGTGTGTAAAAAGCATTAATTTTGTGGGATGACAAAGGGACAGTGAGAATAGCGTGGATGCACTTCGTAGGGGATTTTTGGAGTCGTACTGTTTTAGAAAATTAGCAGGAAAGTGTTGTGCGGCTCTCAACTTAGAAGGCTTCTTAACTTTTAAATGTACGACTGTTATGGGGAATTGCTTTCCCAACCTGACAGTTGAGCTGGCAGTGCTTTGATGCAATCGTATCGTAAATTGTCTGGTGGATTAGTTCATTTGCATTCGCCCAGGTAATATAGACATCATATCAAAAAAATACTTCCTCTTTCCTTTTTCCTTACCTTCTGCAGTTCTAAAGTACATGGGTTTTCGCATTCTATAGGTTTAAAATAGGTTTAACTCTTATATTCTTCAAGCATTTCATTTTTCTTTTTGTTGCTTGCTTCAAATATTCCCTTCTGTTGGTGGTACGCCAGTCGTGTCTTTCTTCCCCTTACTTCTTTAGAGTCCTATTTTTTATTGCACGATGCATATGGCATTAATTATTTAGTAGTCTTTGCAGCTCAAAGGTCTTGGTCCAGGAAGAATGACTTCTATCAAGGGGCTTACAGTAGCTGGAGTACAGGTAATCTCGATAACAGATGTAACTGAGTTGAAAGAACTTGGTCCCAGGCCGAAAAAACAGAGGCGTGTAGGATAATCTCGTTTCTTTGGCGCTTGTAATGCTGGTGAAGTTCATTTTAATTGTTAATAGTGATTATTATTATTATTAATAATATTATTGTTACTATTATCACTTTTATTGTTATTAATATCATTGCCTTACAGGAATGATTTAGAAAGTAGTCGGATTTTTTAATTGCATCATTAAAGTGCGCTTGTTTAGGGGTTAAGTTTAATTTTTTAAGTGCACTCTTTGTTCAGTTCTTTATACATATGCGAGCTAGGTTTGTTTTTTTTAATAAATTGAAAAATCACAGAATTTTTTTTGATTTTTAACTATTAAAATCTTTTCAGTTTTCACGGTGTCCAATTATACTGTTTATCAAAGATGGTAGTTTTCTGCCACTCCCTTTTGTAGAAACTTTCCTGCAAATGGCTTTTTTATAACACTGCTAAATAAGTACATGATCATTTATCGTTTTATGTGACTCTGTAGCAATC